GAGTAAAAATGACAAAACTCATGACTTGAGATAAAGGCAAATTAACAGGTAAAGCAAAACCCGTTCACACAAGCAAAACAAAACACAGAATTCCTTCACCAGTTCCCATCAGCAGGCAGGTGTTCAGTCATCTCCAGGAAAGCAGGGCTCAGTCACACGTAACTGTTACTTGGGAAAACAAAAGCCATCACTCCAAACATCACTCTCTTCCTTCCTCTTCCCCCAGTTTTATATGCTGAGCATGATGCCACATGGTATGGAATATCCCTTCAGTCAGTTGGGGTCAGCTGTCCTGGCTGTGCCCCTTCCCAGCTTCTTGTGCACCCCCAGCCTACTTACTGCTGGTGTGGGGTGAGAGGCAGAAAAGGCCGACTGTGTAAGCAGTGCACAGCAGTAACAAAAACATCCCTGTGTTATCAACACTGTTTCCAGCACAAATCCAAGCCACAGCCCCATACTGGCTACTATGAAAAAAATTATCCCAGCCAAACCCAGCACATTCTCCACCCCTTATTCCATACCATTTACATCATGCTCAGGTCCCACACCATCCACTACATCCCCATTAACCACCCCTCCTGTTCCCATCCTTTGGTGTAATACACAGATATCTTTCCCTTAGTCTATGTACCACTCTGTCCAATGTCTGTAAAATGCCCACAAAATGCCCATTGAGTTAATTTAGTCCCTGACTTTGTACTCCATCTGTAGCCCAACACTAGCTACTATGAAGAAAATTAACTATCCCAGCCAAACGCAGCACATTTCTGCCCTAGGATTAAAATCTAAATGCCTGAGAAAAGTTTGAAGAAGTAATAATCTTTTCTTTGTTATCTAAATAAGTGCTTGAGGTTGTGGTTTGATTTCAATTATCAAAAGTATATAGATACCAAGATTAGCTGAATCTCAATATAATTACCTGACTTTGTATTCGTCTAAGTAAAGCTGTCTGTACAGGATGATGGCCCGTCGATGCCCTTCCTTCCTTCCTTCCTCCCTTCCTCCCTCCTTCCCAATTTTTTTAATATGGTTGTCTGCTTTTGTATGTGTAGGAGGCGAACTCAGGGTGTCTTCGGGAAGGATATTGGTCTGTGCAGGAAAAGACTAGTGGGTTGAATAAATCTAGTAAACTGAGCTTATGTACATCAGCTAGTGCCACTGTAATTAGCCAGGAGTACCAGTTATTAGCTATTATTAATGTTTGAACATCTAATGGAAATACAGAACGGTGACTGAAAGTAACTTAAAATGTCTTTCTGTTCAATTTCTAGTGCTACCTTATAATTTTTAATAGCCATAACAAGTTTTACAAAGAAATATTATTTCCTTCTTGACAGAAAACTGTCCCCGTTCATGAACGTGAATAAGCAGTTTTCAGGTGTAATCCACACACCCCATGCTAGCTAGACTTCAATCTTGTCCTGTTGTATACATCAAACATGGTCATATCACTGCTGTAGTTGGATAAGGCATCCTGCGGTGGGGAGAGGGCGCGGGGGGAAATCAGCTAGACATTTGATATTGATCAGATGACTCTCTGCTGAAGCACAGAGCTACTGTCATTTCAGTGTAAAGGAAATTCTGTGTAATAGCCACTACATAGTGTATTAAATTGTTGTTTTACATAAATCACTGCAGCCTTAGGAAGTTCAGCAGATTGTCACCTGGTCCTTTGTCTCCTGGAGGTTGGCTAAAACTGAAGATTTGATTGTAGGAAGCATTTTTTTTCCGTTAAATGTTGCACAGTACCTTTAACATCTATATATTATTATATCTTCTGTATCATATTTTGTGGGCAAACATATTATGCATATCTAAAATATGTCTTGTACTTTTCATTATAATGTTTAAATTGTCAGGGAGTATTGTGCTTCTTTATTACCAAGGAGCATTAAGGATTATGACAGGCTAGAACCTGCAAACCACTCTAAGCAAAATATCCTTTGCTGTTCTTCACCATTACCAGCTAATATCAGTCATGAACTTTAATATCAAAAGTTCAGAGATGTCCAGTAAAGGAAACCTGCATGATAGAAATGATGGGAGTGTGCCACTGACTGGATAAGAAATTGGCTGAAAAGAGAACATCTGTGAGCTATCCAAGCAGTGACAGTTTGTAGAAAGCAGTAAAACTGTCATACCAAAGATGGAGCATTCTTCTGTCACAAGCCATGGGACATACTTGACGTGGCAGGTCCTGTAGATGAGTAACTGATGTGCTTTTTGTCACGTGGCTGAGAGAGACTGTGGCATTTCTGCAGCTGGCAGCTGGGAATATTTCCGTCAATAGGTGACAATCTTTGGGGGCTGGTGCATGTCCAAAACCATTTATGACCCCATTTTCATCACCCCAACAGCTGAAAGTCTTTTAGCGATGTGCTGGTTTGCTTTCAGTAACTGAAATCTTAAAGAGTGCCTGTGTCTATATGTACACACAACAAACCAAGATACATGAAAAATTATGTGCTTTTGTAATTAAAAAGCAGTGATATCTAGTGGAAGTCTAAGCAAAATCAAGGTCTGCTCAGTGACTTGTGGACATCAGACTTGTTTCCTAACTTTCAGTAACTATCTAGGTGCTAGTGAAGATGTTACATAAATGATGTAATTATGTAAACATATATTTAAATTCAGTTTTAATTGAAAAACATAGGTGTCAGTTTAAGAGTTCTGGCAGTGCTTTTGTATCTCTCAAACTGTTTTATGGTGCTGCTTTTCATTAATTATATTTTGACAGAAGAAATTCTTGCCCCCCTTTTTTTTTTCAGACTGAAGAACAAACGGGCCTCTCTGAAGAGCAGCTTAAGACCCTTCTGGAGGAATGTATGCAGCCTCAGAGAACAATAAGCCACGTTACCATGCCGAAGTCTCAGGAATCTCTTTCTTATGGATTAAGACGGCCTTGTTACACAAGTCAAGACTCCACTCTTCACTCCACATCTACTCTTTCCAAAATGTTAGTTGAAGACCATATTGTGGCTCAGGAAAAGGCTGGACTGGAAGACAAAAGCTTATGTGTTAATGCAGAGAGTGAAATCCCTGGCTACTACATCAGCAAAACATTGGCTGATGGTCACTTATCAAAGGATTCACTAGCCCAAACAGAGGAACCTGATGACCTAGAAGGTTTACAGAAGATGGGAGATAAGACTATTACTGAAGGTTACTTTATGTCAAGAGCACTCAACACAGAAAGTTTGAAGAAACCTTCTTTCTTGGGTGAACCATTATGTTGCATCAGCATGAACAATGAGCCATCCAGAGAGGCTGACATTCCCAGCATACCACTGCAAACCAAAGGAGGTGAGACTCTGAACAGCCCTTTAGAATAGGCTTTTGATTATGATGACAAAAACAAGCAGGTTCTCACCAAAGGTATGCACAGATACACGCTGGTTACTATGGCGAGGCAAGGATGTACTTTTATAAAACATAAAACTGTGCCAAAAATAACACACACGAAATAACAGCATGTTTATTAAAATTCTTGCCCTGACATAACTGACTCTAAGGCTGGGACACTTATGAAATATAATGTTGACGTCGATTAATTCTGTCAACTGGAAAACAGTCTTGACAACATTATCTTTTTGGTAGTAGAAAGTAGTGTTCACTGTTCTGTGGAGGGCAAATATACTCCCAGTAGTTGGTATAATAGTTCACACAAAAATCCATGTTTCCTGAATGTTTTTAATAAGGTAAACTCACGAGTATAGAAAAAAACATTACCTATTAGAAAGAATTCCTTTCAGGGAGTTCAAATTTATACCTAGATGATACCAGAATGAATAAATACTGCATAATTTCTATAAATTACTTTTAATTCAGTAAAAGAAGGAATAGGTTTTAACCAGCAAAAAATCAATGAAATTCACTCTATCTGGTATTATAAAAATATTTTGGAAATGTCTCTATTTTTTATGTCCTTTAAGGCAATTATATAGTGGTATTGTAATCTAAATCTACATTTAGACTTTTAGGCTAAGATCATTTCCCTTTCTGGAAAGCAAACTGTTCAAAGAAGCAAGATTTTAGGCAGGTGCATCTGCATCTTTTGTTTCTTTCATAAAAGTCATGACAGTATGAAGTTGTTTGTGATTAAAGTGCTATAGTTTAATTGTATTAAAAATCAAGAAATCTTGCTAGGTTTCTGAAGATACATCTTTATTGTAATCTATTCTGAATCTGGAGAAAGATTTTTTCACATTCAGTGGTAGAAGAGCATTCTAATACCATTGTAATGTGTTATCATTTCTTAATTATGATCACAATTGTTTCTTTGATTGTTTGTAGTTAACCTTTCTACAGTGGAGGGCATGTTAATATATCTTCAAGGTGATTCTGCCTACCAGAAAGCCAAAAGACTTGTTATTCATGTCTTTACGTTGCCAGACAAACTGAGTGTCCAGACTCACCTGCCATGTTTGCCCGTTAGGAGATTTAGGCCATAGCTGCAAAGGAAGAAAATAGAAATACAATACCTGTAGAAAAGGTTGGGGTTCAGCAACCAACAGTGAGAAAAAAATGAGTTTAACTTGCTGTCTTCACATGCATTAAAGCTTTTCTTCAGTCTGAGTAGATGTGATACAGCCAGAGTCAAGTGTGTTTCAGCCCCAACTACCCGTCTCTCTCCATGAGTGTATTTTAAGATGGGATGTGTTAAATCAGGCAAAACATCATGCACTGTAGGCACCATGTAAGGGAAGCGAGCAGGTAGCTGTTCATACCTGTTGCACTAGACATAGTCATTATGAGGTAATTTTATTGCACAAGAGAAAAAGGAGATTTCGACTCCTAAGTAAATTTCCATATGGGAAAATCTCATGGTAAAAGTCTCTAAAGTGAATGAGTTAACATTTATCACATAATAACTTAAACATCTTTGAATCATAATCATGCGTTGTGTCATAGCAACGCAATTGGGTGCTTCGATTATCTGTTTTCAGTAGTGGCTGAGCAATGTTCAACCATGTAGACCTCAAATCTGTATGGGTAATAAACATCTTGGGTTTGTGGTCATTCTGCTTAGCAAATCGTTTTGGGATTTTTGGGTTTGGTTTTTGGAATGGGGGGTTGGGTGTGTGTTCTGAATTTTCAAAGTCTCTGAATCTTTTCATTTTTACTGGAAATCTAAAAACAAAACCAAGGATGTAATTACAGATATCGTAACCTCATCAGGCTATGTCTTTGTGTCAGTGTCTGATTTTTTAAAATGGTGTGAACAGGTAATCTTTGGGCACAATAAAGGTAAGTGCAAAATAAAACCAACTTCAAAGGTTTGTAATTGTTTTTACATTAGTGCTAAATATTTTGCAGATATCCATAAGCTTAAGTTAGTTATATTAATATATTGTATTCTGTTAATATTACTCTAATGCTAAAACATACAACCAAAATTAGCATTTAAACAGACAGCAGTCCATTCTTACTATTTTTGTCAATGTGCTGCTTATGAGATAGTGTACAATGTAAAACAGAAAATCCTGATACCTTTCCATGGAATCAATTTGTTTCCCATAAAGGTGACTCATTTCTCTCTTAAGCAATTATTCCTGGCCATAAGCAAAAGGTTGTGATGTTTATCAAATTTGTAAAGTTGCCTAATATATTCTATAGGTAAACTTGTGGTTAGTTCATACATTATTAGATGTGCTAATTGTACTGAGGAATGGAGAACCCAGTGGAGTCCACTTTAAGGCACATACATCTTGCAGATGAAGGTGTGAGAAGTACCAGGTGTTATTTTTAAGAGACATGTACATAGCTGAGCTTTGTTATGGTCTTAATTCTAAAGGACATTTAAACATGCATGCAATATCTGCTGTAAATAGATTTTCTGGCCTGCTACATGTGGTTTAAACTCTGTGTAGCACAATGTAAGGAAACAAAACTGTGCGAAAATGGTTTAGGAGAATTTCGGTTTTGCAGTCATTACGGTACTGTAGTCTGTGATACAGATTTACTGCAAGAGATTAAATTATATGTCTTTCAAGGAAAGCATAATTATTAACATAATTTATGTCTATATATCTGGAAGAAACTCTCATGTGGCTTCAGAGATAAGTAATTCCTGTTTCTTGACAGAAGCAGTAATCTACAGCAGGGTCATATGCATGTAAATACAGGTGATGTTTACTGAGATTAACAGAATCCAGGCTCACCCGCATACACTTATGAAAAGGCTGTTATTTTTCACCTGTATGAGCCAATTAGTAATAATTTCCAGCTTGGTGGTTTTTTTGGTTTTTTTTTTTAGAGGGGAGGTTGTGCTATATCAAGTTTTAAGTAGAAGTATTATCTCAAACTGTTGTTGCTTTTCCCTCATGCAAATAATATGATTGCAGCAGTTCAGCATATGATTCTTTTCTTTTCTACAGATGATACGAAGATTGAAGGTTGAGGGAAGAGTGATTATATGCTTCTTTACCCAGCTGTTTTTCTGAAAGTGTGGTTAAACGTCCATCAGTGATCATACACTGGTGCAGTATGACTTCAGACAACATGAAAGGAATGAATTATTATCAATGAAAGCTGTTCTGTGGGCTGATTTATTCTTGAGAGATAACTATTATTGTCCTCATATATTGTTGCAGTTTGATTTCAAAATAAACTTGTGTTTCATTAAATTTCCTGGAGTGTTCATCTAATAAATGAATGTACATGCACGTTTGTGCAGCTGTACGTCTGAGGCATGTCTTTGTTCATTAAAAATGTAAAGTCAAACTTGCAAAGCTCAGTTTCTACTGATGAGACTTTATTAGAGCAGATGTGAAATGTAAGTAATCATTTTATTTCTGTTCCCCTACACTCAATTGGCTTTTTTCATGGGGCTTGCAGCCCATCTGACTGGGTGGAGAACCCGGATACATACTCAGTGTTCTGCCTCCGGGCTGCCCGCTGGGTTGCTGGTTGGACTGGAGGGTAAGACTGGCACAAGGCCTGTGCTGGATCAGAACATCAGCACCAGTCTGCTCAGCTGTGCCCGAGTCCACATGGTGCAAAGGCTGTAACAGCGTACAAACAGTCTTACCCTCAGGTGGAGGGGTGTAACTGAGTGGTGAAGTACCGCCGTTCCCTGTGGAGGCTTGGTGTGGATAAAAGCGAAGGAGGTCAGAAGTTTCCCCTAGCAGTTACTGGATTGTGAAACCTTATAGTGATGGGTGGCTGGGGGAGGGTAATACAGCTGGTTTGTGTTGGAGCTAATAATGACAATTCATTACAAGTATTTGGTTGTCTACTCTTTATCTGCTATTTCTCCTGAATTTTCTGGAGCTGATGGTTAGTTTTTCAGTACCTGCAAAAACCCATAGTTCTCTTCTAAGAGGTTTTTGTGGGTTATTTTTGAAGGGGGAGAGCTATTCTAACAAAGAAAACTCAGTAGATTTTCCCATCGACCGTCTCTCATTTGACACAAACTAAAAGGACCAGTTCTTTCTCACATGCTATATTAGCCCTTTAACATTCCACAAGAAAAGATGTATGGATGGAATGTTAACTCTACAGTGGCTGTGTTGTGGCATAGGGTTTACCTGAACTCATCTGAATGTTTAAATTAATGCACACATTGGGCCAGATTTTAATCTCATTTACAGGGTTGCCAGCTGGAGTGGATGTACACTCCTGAGGAAGTGGTAATTGTGTGGATATAAGAGAGATCAGAATCTAACCTTAATTAAAAATGTAAATGAGATTATATTTATGATGAGCAAGTGCCATTTATTGTTTTATTTTCTGATATTTTCACTTGTTCTGCAGCAGCAGTAACAAACCCGTGGATACTGGGCGTTCTGCGTGATCCCATTGCTCTGCATAGGATGGCTCTAAGCACATTTTACGGAGCTCTGACAATCTCCCCAAGATCTATTTCTTCCTTAAAAATTTTAAGCCTATGTCATAATTTCTTTACTATAAATATAATCAAAGCAATACCAACAAGTTTTTTCAAGACTGTTTTCTGTGCCTGTGTGATACTCATGCAGGACTGTCCACTGGCCGTAATCACTGTCCAGTTATTTTCAGAGGGAACTTGTGTTTTCACAGAGTCCTTCTCAAACACAGTGTTGAAGTGCTCGGATGGTTTTTGAAGAAAAGTAAGTTCTGCTTCAAGTTTATGTTTAGAATGTCTACAACATACGTTAAGAGGAATACTAATTAATTCTGACTTCTCTGGTGTATTTTGTTAGCTTAAATCTCTCACAGCTATGAAAAAGCTTTTCCTAGCACCCTCAAGGAAGAGCCTGTCGCTGGCTAAGCCTTCCAACATTCCTGAAGCCATGAATACAGCTTTTTATTCACATCTGGCGTTTCAGGGATAAGCGGGTACGTTTGAATGACTGTTGACACGAAGTGTATGTTCCAGCAGGCACTGTGTTACTTCACGTCAGGTCTTGGGAAGCGCGGAGCACCCTGCACCAGTTGCAGTCGCTGCAAACCACAGGGACCTAGTGCTGATGAAATGCTGTTCCAAAGTCGCCTGGGGTTGGCACTCGAACTCAGAGATACTCAAAAATTAGCGACCTAATATTTTTCTGTGCATCAATTCCCACCATCCTCTCCTTGTTTTCAGTCTTAAGTAAAATGATAAGAAGTAAAATTATTTGGTAAAATATGGTTATTGCAATGAGGTACATAATAATGGGGATATTGTATAAAATAAAGTGACAAGGTCATTTGCTGAAACATCACCAGTATCAGGGTAAAAGGAAAGTTGAGCCCAGGAGGATTCATGGTTTTTTCTTTGTTTTTCCAGTGTCTCTCTGCTGTGACCTGCAATAACCCCTCTGTCGGGCTTGCCACTGGAATTTCAGCTGCACTGGAATGCGGCGGCTTCTCCTGGGGGAGTGATGAAGAGGGACGATTAAGATATTTAAATGAATTTTCATTTGCAACCTAACTCAGGATTTGGAAACAGGTTTTTCCAAAATACATACCTTTATTCAGCGTAAGTTGTATTCGGGAAAAGGTTCTGACCACTAGCTTCTTTGCAGCCTTTCCTAGCTCCGTTCATCCCGGGAGACTGATTTTTTTAAAGTTATCCTGACTTTTGGACTTTGAGATGTTTTATATTAGGAATAAGAAGTGGTGTGTGTGCATGTAGGTTTGTGCTGCTTTGTGCTCCATATTTTACAGATTTTACAGCACAAGATAGATAGATATTTTTCTTCAAAAAATTTAATACTGGGGAAAGCTACGTAACCGCTAAGAGACGACTTTGGTATGCTTACGTCTGTTTGCTGAGCAATATATGATCAAACCATTCTGCCATTGTCACTGAGGCTCCTCAGTAATACACATGGAGTATATATGTTGTGTGCGTGGCGGCCAGCACTCAGCTGCTGATAGGGATTTACTCCAGTGGGAATGTTCCGATGCTGTATGGTTTGCCCTTTCGATTTACCAACGCCTGTGTTTGTAATTTGTGTCGTGTTTTCCTCTGAAAGAGGAAACTAAGGGTGATCCAATAATTTTCATAAACTATATGTGTATATACAAAGTATATGCATTAATTTAATATATATAAGATATACTATAAATACATATATTTGAGTAGGATGATTTAAAGAACTACAGTGTTGATTTCAGTATACTGTAATGGTATGAGAAGTTCAGTCCAGCTTTACAGCTATTATGCAGATTTAGAGCATTTTAGAGTCTTTTCCATTTCAAAGAGAAGTGACAGACTAAATATCCTGATGTGTTAAAAAAAAAAGTTTGTTGACTATAGACAGCAATGACAGAAGGGGTGAAGTTATTACTGTATGTCCAGAATTCAAGATTAAATTAAAGTAATTCTGTCAAGGGGTGAAAAATACACAGCTTCATCATAAAAAAAAAAAAGAGAGAAAAATACCCCCCAAAAACTCTAAGCCAAATGCTTTTTCCAAACCAGATGATGGCTGGTATCTACCCTATGGATCTGTAGTGCATGCTTTCCCTCTCACTGCCCCAGCAGAACTCCTGCAGAGTCAGTGGACGTGCTGAGCACAGAGTGAAAACAGGCTGTGCAAAAATTATCTGCTGCATAGATCAGGGAGGAAAGGGCTGCTTAAACCTGTCATCAGGGTAGCAAGGACTAGTCTCCAAGTGAGAAAAAGTATGCCAGTAATTGATGCACTGGAA